AAAGTATCGATTGCTGCTAAAACATCAATCAAAAGTTCGGTCTTCTCAGATTGCTGGTTGACGTTCAAAACTTGGTCAGGTATTCTATTTACACGGTTAAGCAGATGGACTAGTCTAGACTGAATGGACAGAAATTTGTTTTGGACGTTCTCTTCCGATGATACTGTACTAATGGACTCATTAACCTCGTCTAATAGCGTACGAATAATTATCTTTTCATCATCAAACTCTAGGTTATAGGGAGAAGATTTGAAAGCTCCGGCCTTTTCCATTTTTAATAAAGGTCGCAAGGTAGTTCTCAATTTATCGACAGTACTTTGATCATCAACAGACACACCACGAACCCTAAGCTCATGAAGTAACATTTCCTTTTTGAGATAACAAATATTCATTTTGAAATCCATAATGCCAAGAAATTTCAATAAAGTACAAATTTAATTATTAAATGTAAAATTTAAAAAAAATAATAATGATGTTAATTTTAAAGTAAAAATACGAAGTATTTATTATATCAGTAATTATATAAAGTTCAGTCCAAAAAGTAAACCAAGTGTTTAAGGTGTAAAATGGCAAAATAATACTTGTCAACAAAAATAAAGCAAAGAAAAAGTAAGTAAATATCAAATTAAAAATATCGATATCGAAATCACAGGTAAGTTAGTAATGCAATCCGCCAGGTAAAAAAACAAGGTAAATAGAAAATAGAAAAAGATAAATAGAAAAGGCAAATCAACTATATACCAAAACGTATATCAATCAAAAGGTAAGTAAAAATATCAAAGGTAAATCAAAGGTAAATCAAAGATAAATCAATGAAAATAATCAGTATCAATAATAATCAGGAGTCAAGATAATATTAAAAAAAAAAAAATGAATAAATATTAACCAGCAAGATGAATATAAAATTATTTGGCCCTAAGTCTCTATAGATATATAATAATAATAGATATTAATAGAATTGCTCTTTTTAATGCAATTGCCCTATTTAAATCAATTGCCCCACGTTGGGCGCCATAAAATTTGTCACGCGTTTTGGCCTTAGATTGGCTCTTTTAAATAAAAAAAAAATAAAAAAAAATTTAGAAAAGAAGTAAAAAAAAATACGAAGAAGAAAAAAAATATTATTAAGTTAGCGATTAAGAAAAATAAATATTTATGGAATTTGCAGGGGTCTAGTCGCGAACAAATTTATGCCCTAGCTCAGAAAATTCGGAGAGTAGGGGCGGGTTAAGAGCGCCACTGACTTTAGACGGAAAAAAGTCAGAAATCCCCAAAGGTGTATTTAGGGCCTTACAAGTTCCACAAATACATAAATAAAAAAAAAGTAAATAAAAATAAACAAAAAAAGTCAAGATCTTAGAGAATTATGTAGACATAGGGCCAAAAGGGAAATATAAAAAATAATGCAAACTGATTAGTTTCAGTACCCTCTATTGAAATATGAAAGGTAAATATAGGAAACAGTAAATAGAAAATACCAAATAGCAAATAGTAAATTAAATAAATCAATAAAAAAAATTGTGCACCAAGAAAAATATATCTCACAATACGCAAGTAGCAAAATTACGTAAATACCTAGATACCTTTCGTGATCACGTAAGATTTACAAAATAAAATATATATGTATATATCAGCGCAACTAAATTCAGCTAATATATCAAATTAATCAACAAATTAATAAATCAAATAAATAATGCTAAACCAATTCACTAATAATAATAATTAATAATATAATTATTAAATAAATAAATCAAAATAATCAACTAATAATTATGAATTCATCAGTTCAAGAAATTTAGATATCGAAAAAAAAATGAATAGATTTAAATTTTAAATAGAGACAAAAAGAAACTGTGTCAGCTGTATTAAATTTACAAAAAAAAATTAAAGGAAAAAAAAATGAAATTTTATTTTATCAACAGAACTAAGTATGTGAAAATTTATTCTAATTAAATTATAATGTTAAAAAAAATTATCTACGTTCAGTATTCGTACGCACCAATGAAATTCAAATCGTAAGATAGGGAAAAAAATAAAAATTGAATTGTACGATACCAAATAGTTGAAAATCTTCTAAATCAAATCAATCTTGGGCAGACACCGTCGGCTGTCAACTGTCAACCGTCGACTGTCAACTCCTCCAGAAAAGTAAAATGGATACGGCAAAAAAACTGCTCCAACAAAAAAACTGGCTCAGAGAGAAGTCTTCAACACAGAAGAAAAACTTCTTCGGCCCAGACAAAAAACTTCTTCGGTCCAGACAAAAAAACTCTTCGGCTCCGACGAAAAAAAACCCTACGGAGAAATAATATTATAGTTTCTCCATAGTACGAGATACCATAAAAAAGATAGTTTTTTTTTAAAGAAGAAAAAAAAGTGGAAAGAAATGTATTAATTTAAAAAAATAGGCTTTACCTGCTAACTCAGGGTTTTCTACGAATCCTCAGGTGATTAATATTATTTCTCCCCCTGGATGGAATGGGGTGCTCAACAAAAAAAAAGGCGGGCTGCTTGGTTGACCCACGTCAGCTTTTTGAGGTGAAAATCCCGTCACCGGTAAACCGTAGCACCGTCCAAAAAAACAAAAGGTAAGATAGGATGCTGCAGTAATTTTTGAGGCACACTCGAAAATCCCCACAAGGGTAAAAATCAAAAACTTGACAAAATGACCGAGAGGCCTCTGTACCTCACACTAGCTGAACATAAAGTGACCAAACCAAGGTAGTTCCAAGAAAAACGAAAACCTTTTTTTGCAACAAAGAAATAGCCAGATAAAAACACGAGCCCTTGATAAAATATGGATTGCCAACCATGAGCTGAATAAAGACATGAAGAAAAAGTTATATATTAAAGGAAAATAAAGTTAATATCAATAATTTATATAATTAATAGAATAAATAAAGTTAACGAGATTAATGAAAGTTATATAGAAATTTGCTTATCAAAACATTCAAAAATTAATAAATAACAACAATCTAGAGATATTGCGCATGACTCACTTGCCGGATCGATACGATATTTTTAAGACAATTATGCTTAGAAAATTCTACCTAAAAATTAAAATAGAGCAACATAAATTTAATGAGTTTAACTAAGTGACAATAGGCTCAATAATTACTGTTGATTAAAAAAAATACAAAAATATATAATCAATTTATTAAAGTATATTTTGGGTTGCCTAATAGTTAATGTTAATAAAAATATAAATAAATATTTGACAGTTCAATTCAAAAATTTCTAACCTACGTATTTAGTACCTATATAAACAGAATTAACGGCGGAAAGAATTATTTTATCTATTTCGGCTAAAATAAATATTAAATTGTATTAAATCAAACTAGTTTTGTGCTGCAAAAAAAAATGTTATTAAGTGTGAAATATGTTTAGTTAAAAATAAGGATGGAATAATTACTTTTGTTAACATGTAAGTACGATTTATTTATTCTTGGTTTACTGAATTGAACTGATCGATATTTCAGACTAATAATAATATCAATTAGCGTTAAATTATTAAAGAAAAGAAATAAAATAGTTTAGTGAAATTTTGGCACGTTACACATTAATAAACTATTAAAATATACAGTCCACTATATAACCAGCATAACATATGGTCCAGACGAGCCGGATTAACAAGCAAGGTGAGCCGTATCCATATTTTTCCTAATAAAATACCTAGTTCGAGAGTTTAAGAAATTATTTTACGCGGTAGCCATTTTAAAGTTGTCGCGTAGGTAATTTGCTAGAATTATTTTAATCGTCATGGCTAGTCAAGTTCTAATTAGAAAACGTGGCGGTTTAAAATCATCTTTAACTAATTTTGTTAAATATATCGAGGCACAAAGTAAATTGAAAGAGGGGTTAAGCAATTTTCAACTAGCTAATTTACGAGAAAGATTATCGAAAATTCAGGACGTTTTTTAGTGATTTTGCGAGGTTCAGAACATAGAGAGCACTGTCGAGGATAGGGAATTAGACGAACAATATAGCGAACGATCTCAATTTGAAGACACATATTATGAAAGCGTAGCAATTGCTAAAAATTTATTATCCGTCGATGACGACGTAAATGATCTGAGATTAGCGGGTGAATTGTATTCTAATGGAAGTATATGTTCAAAATCTAGTGTGAATCAAAAATTACAAGTTAAATTACCGGATATACTTCTACCTACCTTCGATGGCGCCTATGAAAATTGGCTCGAATTTCGAGATACTTTTGAATCGCTAGTAGACAAAAATACCGAGTTATCTAGTATCGAAAAAATCATTACCTAAGAGCATCTTTGAAAAATAAGGCAGCAGAAGTAATCAAATCTGTAGAGTTTTCGACAAATGGATATACAGTGGCGTGGAAGACACTTACTGAGCGATTTAATAATAAAAAATTATTAATATATAACCATTTAAAAGCTATTTTCTCAATAGAAAACATTTATAAAGAATCATCAAATAAAATACGAGGTTTAATTGATGATTTATCTAAGCATTTAAATTCCGTAAATCAACTAGGGCAAGATATTTCTAACTGGGACACCATTTTAATATTTATGCTTAATTTAAAATTAGATCAAAAAACGGCTATGGATTGGGAGAGATTTTCAGCTGATATAGATACTCCTAAGCTCGGGGATTTTACAGGATTCTTGAAAAATCGCGCAGATATCTTGGAAACTATTGAATATAAGGGAAATCGTGGAAACAAACCTGAAAAAGTTCGTGACACAAAATCTTTTATGGTAAATAAGATTTCTTGTTATTTCTGCGGCGAAGATCATTTAATTTATACATGTAACCAATTTAAAAATCTAGATATTAAAAACCGAATTGATTTCGTAAAAGGTAAAAAACTATGTATAAACTGCTTAAGAAATAATCATTTTGGTAAACGATGTAAATCAGGACCCTGTAGAAAGTGCAATCAACGGCACAATACTCTATTACATATTGAAAATCGGCAAAGTTCCCCAACTTCAGAAGAATATTCGGAAAGTACTGTTGCAATGGGTCAAGATATATATAAAAATTCAGACTCTGGGCATGTTTTTCTTTCCACGGCTAGGGTTAAAATTCACGACCACTTGGGAAGGGAACATTATGCGCGAGTATTATTAGACTGTGGTTCCCAGTCATCATTTATTTCTTTGTCACTATGTAAACGTTTAGGTTTGAAACAAGAAAATACCAACTTATCTGTTGTGGGAATTGCCAATATCACGTCACAAATTAAGAAAAGGTGTCAAGTCGAAATTCAGTCTTTGTATAAAAACTTTAAACTTTTGTTAAATTGCTTTATTTTGCCCGAAGTGACTAATATTTCATCTTCTAGAGGAATCCATTTTCAATGCTTGGATCTTCCTAAAAATGTACAATTAGCAGACCCAGATTATAATAAGCCAGGCCCCGTAGATATTCTAGTAGGCGCGGATATTTTCTGGATCTTACTAGGTAAAAATCGGATATCGTGTGGAAAACACATGCCTTTCCTACAAGAAACAGATTTAGGTTACGTTCTGGCTGGAATGGTAGGACACGCCGATGATACTTCTAGTAATATTTCTTGTCACTTAAGTACTAATGCTGAGTTACAAAATACTATTTCAAAGTTTTGGGAAATCGAGGAAATTCCCACAAATAAAGTTTTTTCTGAGGATGAGCTCAAATGCGAATCTATTTTCTCACAAATTACTCATAGAGATGCCTCCGGACGTTTTGTCGTTACCCTGCCATTTAAACAATCACCCGATCTACTTGGGTCGTCTAGGGAACAAGCTGAAAAAAGACTATACGCCATAGAAAGAAAGTTAGCAAAAAACAATAATCTCCGAGAATATTACGCAAATTTTATGACAGAATACGAGAATTTAAATCATATGACTTTAGATACTAGTAATATAGCAAATAATGTTGAATATTTCATGCCACATCATGGAGTTTTTCGTGAGTCTAGTTTAACTACCAAACTGCGTGTCGTTTTTGATGCGTCGGCACCATCTAGCCATGGTTTATCGTTAAATTCCATTCAGTATGTTGGTCCAGTCTTGCAAAACGATCTTTTTTCTATTTTACTTAGATTTAGAAAATATTTATTTGTAATTTCAGCGGACATTACGAAAATGTACCGCCAGATACTAGTTGAACCAAGCCAGCGGTCACTTCAAAAAATATTATGGCGTTCTAGTCCTTCCGAAGATGTAAAAGTTTACAAACTAAATACCGTTACCTATGGGCAAGCTTGTGCTAGTTTTCTATCAATTCGATGTCTATTCCAGTTAGCAGACGAATATGAAAAAATTAACCCAGATATTGCGAATATCATTCGTCAAGATTTTTATGTCGACGATTTGTTGACCGGTGCGGATTCTATTCCAAATGCTCAATATATATGCAATGAAATTTCAAAGGTCTTAAAAGGCGGTTGTTTCGAGCTGCGTAAATGGTATTCTAATGAACCTAGCGTTGTAAGTCATATGGATAACGCTACTAGTTCTTGTGAGGTCTTAGAATTTACCGCAGGAGAAAAGGCAAAAACCTTGGGTTTAACTTGGTCTTGTCAAGATGATTTTCTTATGTATCATATCGAAGAAATTCCCTTTAAAAGTAATTATACAAAAAGAAGCGTTCTGTCAGTATTATCCAAGCTATTCGATCCTTTAGGACTCCTATCACCGTGTATTGTGCTAGCAAAGATTTTCATGCAACGCTTATGGCTACAAAAGGTATCTTGGGATGAGCCATTGACACTTTCCTTATCGAACGAATGGTCTAAATTCTGTAAAGATTTACCCAATTTAAATTCATTGCAAATTAGTCGTCATGTCCTAGCTGATTTTCCAAGTTCGTTAGAAATACACGGATTTTCAGATGCTTCCGAGAGAGCCTATGGGGCTTGCCTATATATAAAATCAATTGATTCAAAGGGTTTTTCAGTCATCAAGCTTTTATGTGCTAAGTCTAAGGTTGCCCCGGTGAAGTCACTTACTATTCCTAAGCTTGAACTTTGTGCAGCTTTATTATTAAGTAAACTGGTAAACAAAGTGTTAAGTTCTATTCAACTTTCTTTTGAAAGAATCGTTTTGTGGTCTGACTCTACTATTGCTCTGGCCTGGATAAGAACCCCTCCAAATACGTTAAAGGTCTTTGTAAGCAATCGTGTTGCAGAGATTCAAGCTTTAACTGAAGATTGCGAGTGGCGATATATTCCCAGTACAGACAACCCAGCCGATTTAGTTTCGCGCGGTTTGTTACCAAGTCATATGTTAACTGCGATCGAATGGTGGCAAGGGCCATCTTGGCTTGCGAAAGAATCAATATATTGGCCACAAAATGAACAAAATATCAAATTATTACCAGAATTAAAATCAAAATATCCATTAACATTTGTAGCTATGCTAGATAATAGTTTCCCTTTTGAACGATTTTCTTCATTTTTAAAAATGCAACATGTCACAGCTTATATTTTCAGATTTAAAATAGCCTGTCAGAAAAATTCTAGTCGCGTTGAAGGGCCTATAAGTGTGTCAGAGTTGCGTTGCTCTTTGAAATCTCTAATTAAAGCAGCGCAAAATCAAAGTTTTCCTGAAGAAATTTCAAGGTTGTTGGATAACAAGGGCCTACCCGATAGCAATGTATTAAGTAAATTAAATCCATTTTTGAACGCTAATGGCATTCTTCGGGTGGGTGGTCGCTTGAAACATTCCGATTTCCCAATGGAAAAGAAACACCCTATTCTATTACATTCGAATCATCATTTCACAAAATTACTTTTTGAATATGAGCATGCTATTTTACTTCATCCAGGTCCGCAGTTACTCTTAGCACATATCCGTGAAAAATATTGGCCGATCAGAGGCAGAAATCTAGCACGTAAAATATCTATAAAGTGTTTACGCTGTTTTAAATTTAAACCGGAATTAGTTCAACCAATTATGGGTGCGGCCAACAAAGTGTTAAGTTCTATTCAACTTTCTTTTGAAAGAATCGTTTTGTGGTCTGACTCTACTATTGCTCTGGCCTGGATAAGAACCCCTCCAAATACGTTAAAGGTCTTTGTAAGCAATCGTGTTGCAGAGATTCAAGCTTTAACTGAAGATTGCGAGTGGCGATATATTCCCAGTACAGACAACCCAGCCGATTTAGTTTCGCGCGGTTTGTTACCAAGTCATATGTTAACTGCGATCGAATGGTGGCAAGGGCCATCTTGGCTTGCGAAAGAATCAATATATTGGCCACAAAATGAACAAAATATCAAATTATTACCAGAATTAAAATCAAAATATCCATTAACATTTGTAGCTATGCTAGATAATAGTTTCCCTTTTGAACGATTTCTTCATTTTTAAAAATGCAACATGTCACAGCTTATATTTTCAGATTTAAAATAGCCTGTCAGAAAAAATTCTAGTCGCGTTGAAGGGCCTATAAGTGTGTCAGAGTTGCGTTGCTCTTTTGAAATCTCTAATTAAAGCAGCGCAAAATCAAAGTTTTCCTGAAGAAATTTCAAGGTTGTTGGATAACAAGGGCCTACCCGATAGCAATGTATTAAGTAAATTAAATCCATTTTTGAACGCTAATGGCATTCTTCGGGTGGGTGGTCGCTTGAAACATTCCGATTTCCCAATGGAAAGAAACACCCTATTCTATTACATTCGAATCATCATTTCACAAAATTACTTTTTGAATATGAGCATGCTATTTTACTTCATCCAGGTCCGCAGTTACTCTTAGCACATATCCGTGAAAAATATTGGCCGATCAGAGGCAGAAATCTAGCACGTAAAATATCTATAAAGTGTTTACGCTGTTTTAAATTTAAACCGGAATTAGTTCAACCAATTATGGGTGAACTTCCTCGCGAAAGAGTCACTCCTAGTAGTCCATTTCATATAACTGGCATAGATTACGCAGGGCCATTTTTTATAAAGCGCAATCGAAAAACTCAAGACAAATGTTATGTGGGAGTTTTTATCTGTTTTTCCACGAAAGCAATTCATCTCGAGCTCATATCATCTTTATCTTCAAAATCTTTTATCCAAGCATTGCGTCGTTTTACCTCTAGACGGGGCAAACCTTATAAAATTCTCTCGGATAACGGAACCACGTTTGTTGGTGCTAAAAGAGAGCTCGGTCAATTTCTAAAACAAAAGGCATCCAATTTAATTGACTTATGTGCTAACGATAAAATTGAGTGGTTATTTATACCTCCGTATTCGCCTCATTTCGGTGGTCTTTGGGAGGCAGGAGTTAAAAAGTACCAAACACCATCTTAAAAGGATTCTAGCAAATGCTCGACTTACGTTCGAAGAGTTTACTACGGTGTTGTGCCAAATTGAAGCTATCTTGAACTCTCGACCACTTTGCCCACTTTCTTCCGATCCCAATGATTTCCTTTCTTTGACCCCGGCTCACTTTCTTATTGGACATCAACTGACTGCTGTACCTGACGAAGCTCTAGAAGATACGAAGATCAATAGACTGACAAGATTTCAACTTGTCCAGCAGATGTGTCAACACTTTGGCGACGTTGGCACCGCGAGTACATATCCGAATTGCAACAAAGACAGAAATGGAAGTGCTCCCAAGGAAAACTGAAGGTTGATAGTCTAGTTTTGATCAAAGAAGACAATGCTCCTCCTACTCAGTGGAAAATGGGTCGCATCATTCGTCTTCATCCTGGTTCTGACGGCGTCAGTAGAGTGGCCTCCATTAGAACATCCCAAGGTGTTGTCAAAAGAAGCTTTTCCAAGATTTGCCCTCTTCCAATTGATGTTTGAAAGATGTAACTCTTTCAAGGCCGGGGCCATGTTTGGGCTCAAACTTTTCTAAATGCTGCACTTGTTCCATCTAAATGCTGCCCCCGCTCCATCTAAATGCTGCAACCGATCTTGACCTTTTATCTCTGCGCCTGACGTCCAGCAGTCCGACGGAAGGGGACCTGTCACTTACCACCAGCCCGGCAAGCCGCAAGAATTTACATTTCTTTGTTTTATTAAAACAATTTGTTATATCTTATATTAACATTAATAAACTATTAAAATATACAGTCCACTATATAACCAGCATAACAGTGTTAAAATTTTAATATTTTTTCGAATTATTTTAATTTTCTTCCAAGTACTTTTGGCGTTTTGAATGAAATTTTGAGAGTAAAAGTTACTATAAATGCGACATATTTTAAAGCTAAAAATGTGTCGACAAATTCACCAGGGACGTGTATATGGGTTATCACTGGAATATTTTTCAAAAATAAAACATGTGCGCAACTGACTTTTTTCTTTTGATATAAAAATTGCGTAGGCAGTTTAATGCCAAGTAAAAGTTATCTCTTGGTATTTTGCCGAATTCAGCCTCCTTGATGAGATAAACTCAATTTTATTAATCACAATTAATAAAATAAAAATACAATTAATAAATTATATTTTTTATTAATAAATTATAGTTATTATTACTATTAGCCTAACCTTCAGCAATTTCAAATAAAAAAATAATGCTATTTAAGATAATTACAAAAAACCTAATTTTAAAAGGTTTTAACATCCTGTAACTCTAAAACTATGCATTTCATTACCCATGTTTATAGGACCTTTTTTTCATATTTTTTGATGAGGAATTGATGAGTACTTATTTAAAACTTAAGCAAGTTAATGATATTAAAATTGTATAAAGGTTGCTATTAGACTTGGATCAAGGCAAATTAAAAAAATTGCTTTTATCTCATCAAGGAGGATCATCGAAACTAATGTCGTCATCCGCATCTGCTGACTCGTGACCATCTACATCTTGATATGAAGTACCAGGAGCAAGTGTAAATTTCTTCTTCTTATAAAGGTGGGCTATGGTCATTCGAAAAAAATGTAAAATAATTTTTTCGGGAAACTGCAGATTAACAAAATATACCACAGCTTACACACTGTACTTACGAAATACAGTTCACAGCTACATGTAGTACTGCTTCACATTCTTAGATGGCTTGTAGTGAAATTAATTACATTTACTTTAATTAGACATATAATTATCTCTAATAAAGTCACTGTATTAGTAAGTACTGTTGACCACAAATTAAAACAAAATCGTATTTTTTTCTGTTCAAAATACCGTACTTTTTATGTAAATACCGTGTTTTTACGTACGGTAATAAGTTTGTACCATAAATCGTACATTAACGGAAATTACCGTAAGGTTGGCAACCTTGGGAGGCAGGTTTCCGCTTACCGGCAACAAGCGCCGCGCGCCGCCTCGTGCTCATAAGCTTGAAAGCGTATCGTCAAATCGGCTAGTTCACAGTTAAAGCAAGTAGGCGCCGTCAGCCAGCGTTCTCGCTTTTACCGTAACGTAAAATTTAGTTTATTTCTGCTTTTGCACGCGGCCGCAGTGTTTGATTATGGACAAGGATTTACTAATAGCGACAGTGTTTGAAAAAACACCTGTTTGGGACAAAAAACATAAGCTGCATAGTAACCGAACCGTAGTTGATAAATGTTGGAAAGAAATAAGTGTCGAAATGAACGAAGATGGTAAGTGTGTTACTTATTTATATGCGTATTTAGTATACCGGGTGCGTCTCGAAAGTGGCTCACCCCCTATTACTTTTTTATTTTTTCAGATAAAAAAACGAGATTTGGTATGTTAGTATATGACTTAAATTAAGATTGATTGATATATTCAATTGTTTTCGGTCACTTCCGGTTTCACCGGAAATGACTACAACTTTTGATTTTTAAATGGCACCATCGATATTTTTTTACATTATTCGATAGTAAATGAGACTCTGGAAATTGACATATCATATGTCAACTTTTGTCATTTTCGCATATGGTTTATTTGAAATTATAACATGCGGTTTATAACGACAATTTGACTTGAAATACCAAGTGTATCAAATTATTCGTAAAAAAATGCTTTTTCCAAATATGCTAATGAGCCACCTTCATTCCATTTGAAAAAATTGAGTTATGATTAAAAACACGATATGGGCATCTCTTAACCGGTCAGGACAAGACACTGAAACATTAGACAATCAAATTTATTTTTCCAAGGCTCCTTGATTAAAAATGAGTGTTTTTAACACAGCCATGGCACTTTAGATTGAAATTTAAAATAAAATTTGTTTTTGAGTGAATATGTCAAAAGTTGACTATCATATGTCCACTGTTATTCGATTCAGGAAGTTATTTTCTATCGAATAAAGTAAAAAATACAGAGGATGCTATTTAAAAATCAAAAGTTGTTGTCATTTCCGGTGAAACAGGAAGTGACCGAAAACAATTGAAAACGTCAATCAGGGTGCAGCCACACTATCTTAAAAACGGCGTATCGGCGTAACGGCGTAATGACCTTGAATATATTTCCAGTAATTCTATTGGCTGAAACATTCATCTGTCAGAAATTTTATCTGTCAAATTCATCTGTCAAAAATTTCAGCCAATAGAATTACTGGAAATCGATTCAAGGTCGTTACGTCGTTACGCCGATACGCCGTTTTTAGGATAGTGTGGCTGCATCCTCAGTCCTAATTTACGGCATATAGTAACATACCAAATCTCGTTTTTTTATCTGAAAAAATAAAAAAGTTGTAGGGGGTGAGCACTTTTGAGACGCACCCGGTATAATTTACAATAATTATCGATGTTTTTAAAGGTATGATAAAGGATGTTCTGAAAGATACGTTAATTTCGCGAATATTTTTAGCTTCATTTAGAGGTCTTCCTGTTATTTGTCTTTCGATAGTGTTTCAATAGTCTACAGATACGTCGTTAATATCTCTTTGAAAACCTTATTCCCTGTCGATGATTGTATAATGTAAAACAACGCAATACATTTAATAGATGCTATTATTAATAGTTGCTGTCTCAATATTCGTTCCAATAAATTTTGTAAGTATACGCCATTTTGACGTAATTATTCCAAATGTGCATTCAACGCACTTTCTTGCACGAGATAAGCGTTTATTAAAACATTGTTGCTCAAAACTCAGATTTCCACCAAATGGTTTTAAAAGGAAAGGTAGATAGGTGGATATGCTTTATCACTTATTAGTACAAAAGGTGCCTTTGTTGTTGTTTGCGGAAAATAAGATGCCGTAATATTTAGTTTCTTATTGTTTAATTGGCGGTAGTAATGGGTATTACGATTCTTTTTAGTGAATCGAATCACATGCACGATTCAATTTCTCATATTGAATCGACTCCTACGATTCGTTCATTTAAACGGACCACATGCACAATTTACGTTTCATAAAACAAGAATCGTATCTGGCTTGGAAATGAACATCGATGAAATTCCCCATATAATTTTACATATAAAATGAGAGCAATCTTCATTTTATAGCCATCGTTGACGTCGTTTTTTATCATATTGAGCAGAGGCCAACAATATCTATTTGGAGTTGTATAAAAACACGTTTTCGTCTTTTAGTCCAACATTTAATCGTTTATAGTCGGTAATATTATTTTTGACAAAAATATTAACGTGAAAATTAAATATCTTACGGATACTCCCGTACTAAGCACAGTATAAATAAGTTTTTTTTCTTGTAAATAACTTTCTTATCGTTTGTATTTTATGCCCATGATATTTGTATAGGGCTTTTGTTCAAGTCTAAATATTGGTGCCTACTCTCTATGCCTATACCACCGCCACGAACGATTACATTGTGAACCGATTCAATTCTCACGATTCTTTTTTACGGCTCATCGTTCATATCTTATGGATCCGTGCAGGCCACGATTCAATTTAATGAACTGTATTGTAAGCAATGAATCAATTCTCACGACTCTTTGAACGAACGATCGCTTGTGATTCGATTCAATTCTCACGACTCTTCTTTACGGCTCATCGTTCAAATGTTATGGATCCGTGTTGGCCACGATTCAATTAAACGAACCGTATTCTAAGCAGGGAATCGAATCTCACGATTCATTTTTAATACTCGTTCAAATGAACAACTCGTTCAATCTTTGTCCATCTCTAATTGGCGGTATAGTTCTGATGCTTGAACTGTACCACCGTTGATCTGTTGCTCTGTTTACCATAAGCGCCGATTTCTACAGCAATAAATTTGTAATTAGCATCGGCTTCTCCTTGTAACACTACGGAAAAATGACGTGACATATGGATAGGTTGTAAAACATCCCATATTATAGAAACTGTTTCTTGAACTATTAACCGTCATGGCGAAACTAAAATACAAGATGTTTAAATGACGACTCGGTTGCTAAATATCTGTAACAAAATAATTTTATAACAAATAAGTTTTATAAGAAAATTATATTTAAGAAATATTTTTGTTTCCAGAGGTTAAGCTCCGAAAACAGTGGAAATATTTACGAGACCAATATTCTGTTGAATTGGGGAAACATCCTTTGCCAAGATCTGGAGATGCAGCAGAAGATACGTTTACATCCAAATGGCGGTATTTTCCGCAGCTTCATTTTCTAAAGGACGTAGTTAAGCCAAGGGTTTCGAGCGGGAATTTGTCTAGTACCCAATCATCCCAGGTGACTTTCAAAGAAGAAAGTCAGTCTTCTGTTGAATTTGACGAGAATGGTGGTGATGAGGAAGATTTTGATTCAAGTGAACAAGTCGTAGCCAAAAAAAGACGCGGGAAAGATACATATCAAGAATCAATCCTAGATATAGAAAGAAGAAACGTAGAATATTATTTAGAGAGCGAGGCTAAACAAAATTCTATTGATCAAGAAGACGAACATCTATCATTTTTCAAGAGCTTGCTCCCACATGTGAGGAAAATACCCGAAAACAGATTATTATCTTTTCGATGTCGAATACAAGAAATAGTGGATCAATTTGCCTACCAACTGAACATACACTCTACACCCTCATCTGCGGTATTACTTCATTCTGATGTACCTTCTCCGGGTTACCACATTGTTGATTCAATACATCAGTCTGTTCCCTCAAGGCAACAGTCAAGTCAACAGTGAATTATGTTCCAAGATTGAGAGATATAGTATTTCCCCATGAAATTAAACCAATATTTTTTGCAATATTTGATTTTATAACAATAAAAGTATTAAAAAATGTCTATACCTATGTGGCGGATTCATCTCTCCAGAAAATCCTTCTTTTTCTAGCTATTGTTAACTAAAATACCCATATCTTTTCCAGATTGCCTTGTCAGTTTGGAATTATTAGTTGTATATGTTACAGTAAAAGTTGGAAATCAGTGATTGTTAACAATTACTAGTAAAATCTCACATTCACTGATTTGCTAAGATTACGCCTGTAAAAGTTCAACAGCTATTTTTGAAACCAATTTTTACTAGTGAATGCGCGGTTGCCACATGTTGTAAACGTTGCAACACGTTGACATCTGTCGTAAATTCGCTTTGTTTTTTTGTGGTTATGTATAATTGTTTTGTTATCGTTGTAAAAAGTGCTGTGCGGTATTTTATCTAGGAAGAAATTTTCTGTGAAAAATTAGAGTAATCTAGGCACTCGCAAGAATATAATAGTGCTTGTTCATTTTTGGAATATAATGAAGTCATAGCAAAAGTTAAGCATGCAAGAAAAAATATATTTTAGAGAACCTAGTGACTATAAACTTATTAAAGGGTTTGATATGCTTAAAGTAGCGGGTTTGAAAATACGAATAACCTGCCGTTGAAGAAAATTTATTAAAGCATACTTTATTTTGTCCACGATGAAGAATTTTATTAAAAAAAACCTTGTATCAATAATTTATCTTATGTTTATGAATGTCTTTTTTTAATTGTTTTGTACGATTACAGTTGAGGGTTGGAACCTTTGGTGTTACACAGCAAAATAAAAACACTAAATCACCACAATACACCAAAACACTTTTACTTTTACACTGGACGCGCGTTTCGCTAACCATGTTAGCATCATCAGCAGATGATTATAAACTAAGTTTATAACTTAACTTTAACGCCTTTGTATGTTTTCCCTTTTAATATTTAGAAGGTTATGGCGTTATTTTCTATAATTTTTAATAAATATACTAAAGAAGTAAATTATAATTTTGATATATGTGTAGGGGTCGTCATTTTCTTGACAACTTCTTGATCTTGTCTTGACAAGAAATGATTTTTGATTTTCAAACAAGACAAGAAATTACTTCTCAAGATCAAGATTTCTTGACAAGAAATCAAGAAAATATTGAAATTTCTTGAAAATATAAAATAAAAAAGAAATACTCATTTACTTAGGTATTTGTATATTATATGAATATCCATTAATTGATTGATAAAAGAAAATACGAAGCAAAAAATTTTTGTACTAAGCGGCACTTTGTCGGATGTCCAATGTCCAAAGTTGGCATAAATACGTCCAAAGTCGGATGTCCAAAGTTGGCATACTGTGGGCCAAATCAAACTGGAACCTTTTTTAATGCCTAATAATTTTTTAATTTTTAAATGCTTTTTTTATATAATTTTTTGGATATGTTATGGCCTACGATATTAGAATAAAAAAAACTTTGCAAAGCGGGTCTACTTCAGTGGCATACAGACTTTTTGAATTAACGTAAAACTTTTAAAATAAAAAAAAATAATACATTTTAATGTACGCCACTGAAGTAGAGTAGCTTTTATCGTTGTTGTTTTGACTGTTTTTATCTGACTAATTAAACTTCTACGTCCAGGTGTCTGAGGTGGTAGGTATTCTAAACCAGATTCAATTACGAATGGCTCAGATTTCCTGTTCAACGAACCATCACAATCACTCATTTTAATGTTAGATAATAATAATAATAATTAACAAAATTATGTAAATCTGATGGTTTTGGCTGCTGTAGTATAATGAGCCCAAAGTTTTTGAATTTTTTGAAAATTAGATGCCTGACCCTCGATTTTACGCATAAAGCATAAACATCACATTAACCAATCTCACCGCGACTTTTAAACAGGGGGTTACCTTGTAATAAACTAATTTTAAACGGGGGTTCCTCTTTTGTCAAGATATCAAGAAATTTCAAGATTTCTTGAATCAACTCTCAAGAAACGGTCAAGACAAGGCTTTTTTTAAATTCTTAATATTTTCTTCTTAATATTTCAAGACAAAATAAGAAATTGCTTGTCAAGACAAGATTTCTTGTCTTGCCGATCCCTATATATGTGAATCGCCTTGAATATTGAGGTGATCCAATATTCTTAAAAGTTTTATTTGTTCTAACTTCCACCAACATTCTTCCTCGCCACACTCGCCCTGTAATAATAAAGAATAACTTTTACTGGCAACCTTTGTAGCAGCCTAAAATAATTTCTTATTTTTGCGCTACATCTCTAGCAGAATTTAAGCAAATAATGCCCATCCCTAGTCGGTACCACTGCAATTTTGGTAGTACCGTGAATGCCGTTCGATGTGGTGGCGCAGGGTTGCCATTTATATTATTATTTACATTTTTCTTTAAATGTTGGTGTGTGTTGATTTTTTGTCTTCAAAAGATAATCTCTGGCAGAATTTTAAAGTTTTATTCGGATTTTTCGACACTTCCATTTCGACCACTGGTGAGAAGTCCCAGGGTGGTTTTCACCTTCCCAGAGAAGTTTTTTTGTACGTCGTTTGTGGCGGAGAATAGCCCTGCGAGTAAGTTATAGTTTTTTCTTTTACTTTCTTTCATATACTTAGAGAAAAAATCATTTATTATAGGTGTGTCCCTTACCAACTTAACGGGAAGATTTGACATTTTGGGAGTTTTTTGGAGTAATTTTTTGGACGAGTTTTTTTAAGAAGATTTAGCAGTAGTTTTTTTTGAGCTGAAGTTTTGAGCAGTTTTTGGTTTTTATGAATGGTTCCGTGAAGGTTCCCTGTTGGAGGCTGGTGTGAAATTGACGAGTTTTCCATTTTTCCGCAAATTTACAAGTTTTCTGATGGTTTGAAGCAGTTATGTAATGGATATGGGCCCCAGTACGACACCAAATCAACACTGATTGACTACAGCTTCAGAGCAAAAGCTAAGTACTAATTTAGTTTTGCTTTAGAATCTTTTTGCCTTTTTCTTAAGCTTCTACTGAAACTTACCTTATATTGAAACCTCTTTTTTGATGAAGCTTAAACAAACGATTACGTTTGATGATTTATATTTAGTAATATTTAATTTAAGTTTCGCTATATCAATATAATATTAATTTATTGTTTTTTTTTAAATGACTTTTTAATTCACTTTCAAACTGGAGTTATTTAATTATTAATAAATGTACATAGCTTTTTTATTAAATTTTGTTGTTTTAATTTGAGATATATCATTACTGAACATCATTAGCCTGTGGTAATTTTCTTAATTTTTTAAATATCACCTTAACTTGGCTTAAATTAAGTGGTGCCCAACAATATGCAAAAATAATTAAATGAACCTACACCTATTGTTCACCAGACGAAGAGCAGCCGTACGCTGCGGTTTTCTTTTTAATTTTTACCATCTTTTTTTATAATTTTTCCTAACCTTTTAAAAAGTCGCCGCACCTTTAGTAAATGTTACTTTCACTAGTGAATGTTAGAAATTACTAGGAAAAGTCGACAAATCTTTTTAAAATACCACATTCACTGGTCCAATGCGTAATTGTTAGCATTTCCTAGTGAATGTTAACAATTACTGAATTTCCGACTTTCACTGTAACATATATAATATGGGGTTTTTCATTATTATATGTTTGACGTCTGTAATGAGAAGAATATAATAAAGAGTTATTTTTCAAAAATGCAGATATTTATTATTATGCTAAAAGATCTAAATCTCATATTATGCCTATTTTTAAATATTTTGCAAAGTTTGAAAATACAATGGAACTTGAACAATCTGATATTTAACCTACACAAAAATGCTTTTTAAACAATGCATATCGTTATCTAAAATCGAGTATAAAAAGCGATTTTCAAATTTTAATTAAAGCTTATCCAGTTCGATTTTGAAGCGTTCCTAATGGCACAGATCCACCAGCTACGTCAATAAGCTTTTAGTCCCGTTCGTGTGCAACTTACTGACAAACATACATCCATACGTTATATCAGCAAGCATCAAACGTTTTCATTTAATCCATATTTAATGAAAAACAGGTTGAATAGTTAAGTCCTATTAATCCCTCAGAGCGCGTTTGTCTCCACGTAAATAATTTATTATATCTGTTTGATATTCGCCTCTTGCAGTGCTAGTTGTGGCTGGCCCTTTGGTCTGGGCAAATTCAAATATTCAATAGCCAAGCGCCATCCCAGGGCTATTATTCGACCTGGTTTCTTTATCTACTCAGATGCAAAAACGAAGATATATACAACCGAATATATTTTCCTGAAATTTAAATTGTTATACTTTTTTATTTTTAGCCCTATTTTTATGAATTTTTAGCAAACTGTATACATATAAATATATCAACTTTAATTCGTAAAGTCATTTTTAACATTGAAAATGTTTCTGTTATCCTATATAAGGGAGCCCAAATCAAATTAAAATGCTACATTTGCCACACCATGACGTCATATATACAAGGGTATAGGAAATCTCTGCGCAGCGTGGCCGACTGCCGCCGCGCGCGCAAAAACCATTACATCGCTAATTGTTTATTGATATATCTTTATTAGTTTAAAAGCAAAAAATATGGGGTTTGCTTTGATACCTTGTCAAGACATAAGCGAAACTTTTAAATTGTTTCTTTTTTTCATTTAGGCCTTCGTTTTTCGTTAAATGAAAGTTATATTAAAAAAGTCTATTTTTAAACCAAATTTTCGCATGATTGAAATGAGTTATTCATGTTTAAAGTTTTTTTTGGTCATAAGCGCTAATGGAAATGTTTTTTTGTAAATAATTATAAAAAATTATTCCCTACGAAGACTTTATTGTGTACTGGATCAAAAAATAAGTATTTGTTTTCTCTATACGGTGGTATAAATATATCGATTTTTGATGATAGTGCCCTTTTACTAATTCTAGGTCTAATTTTGTACTACTTTCGGAATAAGGGTCCCCATATCATGTACTGTACTTCCATCCCTGAAAAATTCAGCTTGTGACACCGAAGTGAGACGTAAAGTCAAAATAAGC